TTATCAATTAGAAGTAAAAAAAAAAAAAACACTTTGAAAACATACTTAAAAACAAGTACACTATGCTACTAAAGTTCGGATGAGAAAAGCTCCATTTTTAAAATCAAGCTAGAAGGCAATGTACCGTGAAGACATCCGAATTCCAAAAAGACTAACGTAGCCACAAGAATTAACAAGTTCAGCTAAACAAGCTCAAAGATGGGATCATCGAAATTTACCAAGCTCATGCAGCAATTCATACTTAGTTGTGGGATCTTCCTTCGTCACACTCTCCGGAATTGAACTTGTGGACACTTTCCCACTTCCATACCCTCTAAACCGATCCCCACCACCACCCTCCTCCACCGTCCCACCACCACCACCACTGCCACTTTTCCTCTGCCTGCCAAATCCACCACCAATCTCCCCAACCGCCTGCATACTGGCCACTGCCCTACTCATCGTCCCACCTCCACTCCCATTCCCTCCACCGCGGCTCTTCTTCCTCCTCGTCCTCCTCACCACCGTCCCCGATCCCATTTCCTCCTCCTCTTCTTCCTCGTCTTCATCCTCGTCCGCCCCTTTCCTCACCACAAACGTCGAAAAGTTCCCCTCTTCTTCTTCCTCCTCCTCCTCCTCAAATCTCCTCCTATACGACGCCGCATTGTCATTATAATCCCTCTTCTGAGTTCGATCCCAAAATTGAGCCGGCGGACGACTCGGCCTCGAACTGTTCGACGTTTTGACAATCATAGTACCGGAGACAGATGCCCCCTCGTCGTACTGATCATCGTCCGAATTCAAGGTGGGGTCCCCGCCAAAATCTTTAGGTAAGCGTTTAAGTAAAGGAGGAAGTGAATCGTCGTCGTCGACGTCGTCTTTTCGGACCATAGTGGCGTAAATGTCGGACGATGATAAGTTTGCCTTTCTGGTTCGACGAGATGTTGGGGAATCCTCCATTTTTATGTCTTTTACTTTTTCGTATTCAATAACGATGGAGTGGTAGGGACGGGTGTTAAAGTGAATAGTGTGTTGCTAAGAAGAGGCCACTGCGGGCGGAAGCTGAAAATGTTGCTTTCCAACTGTCTGATTCCAACTGACGCTGCCAAGTTCTTTTTCAGTTTGCGATTGATTAGTCTGTTTGGGAGCTTGTTGGTATAATTATTAGTACGTTAACGAAGCTATGAGTTTAGGGAGCTAAGCAGTCAACTGAAGTTTGGCGGTGTTGATGGGATCGAGTTGAAGTGTTTAATAGTAGTATATAGGTCGAGTTCAAGTATGCAAGTAATCTCAATCAATTAAGCTTAATTTGAGTGCGTTTGATTATATTTTTATTTAAAATTTATATTAAGTGAATTTGATTAGATTTGATTATTAAACTCAATTGAATTCGAGTTCAAGTAAATCAACTTGAAGTCAAACTCCAACTCGCTCAATTATTAGAAAGGATGGATGAGTTCAATTTTAATTATTTTAAATCAAATTCAGGCTCAATCCAAATGCACCCCTATATAAATAACACACTACTATTATAATGAAAGACATTTTGAATGATTTTCTTGAATTTCAAGATCGAGCAGCTTGATTGTCGAATTGATTAACTAGCAAACGCTACAAGCTCTTCTTCAATCAAATTTGAGTTAACTTATCGAGTTACCTCGACATGTTTCAACTTTCTATCTGAAGACTTTGACATGTTTGGTAACAGTCCCATTTTTTTGGGAACTAGAATAAGGATCTGTGCTCCAGTACGAGGGTTTTGACATATTCATCCACGAAAAACTGATGAGACTCTAACAGAGGGATTTTTCACTTTTTATTATACAAGCATCCACAAGAACCTTTGGTCTCTTTAGATATTACATTCATCCTAGCAATTGACAATAAAGGCATATGCAAAGAAATGACGGTAAGCAGTTAACCATTTCCAAATCAGCTTGTGATTCCACAAAATCCAGGTTTCTGCTAAAGCAATAGAAGATTAAAGCAGTGTGTCTAAAACTGAGAAGTGAGAAGAACATCTACATACTCTACAACTATCCTATCATACTGTATTCAACAGATTGTATCATCCATGAGCTCTGCCATCCTCCTGTAAGTGAGAGTAATACCTGAAAAACCATATCAACATAGAACATAATGTCATGACTTCTTGAACAAAGATTTCGAGAACTTCCCAGATTCACCTTTTGGAACTGCAAATCCCCCCTTTCGAGAGCACAAATCCTTGTAACATGACAAGAAACTTATGCTTTCCGTCACCAAAACAAAGCCAACAGCATCTTGATAAAACCGGTAAAATCTATCATTCCATGGATAAAACCAAGCAATTAATAGCAAGCATCCATTAACAACATAGATGTCAAGCACACAGGCTCCGGCAAGTAAAGGTGATAGAGGATATAAAAGTTCTTTCACTGGTCTAGCTCCCGGATTCTCCTGCTTCAGACGCATGTACTCTTCTACGCGAGACCCAAAGTACCCCTCAGAAAATACAACTGCAATCAGCGTAAAAACTAGCAGAAATGCCCATTTCCAACCAAAATTGCCCCAAGAAAGGATCCATTGAACAATCAGAGACACACCCAAGTCTAAAATGATGGGCATTGTTGACTTGACCCTGAAAAAAAGCCGGAAAAGATTGATTGTAACCAAAGCACTAAACCATGAATATGGGAAATCCAAGAAACGGCTCCAGAAAATGATCCAACCACTAGCATTAGTTATGACAGCAAGAACCAACCAAATTTCCGTGGAAATAGAAAGGAATTGGCAGTCGCAAGATCCCAACTCTTTCTGGGATTTGTTAACTTCATTGAAGAGATGAAATAACCAAATAGCTACTCCACATATCCAAAGCAAATCAAAGACTAACCCCACTAATCCCATCAGTAACTAGTCAACAAAGTGGACCCAAGATGAGCTAATGGCACGCCTGAGGCCCTAAACAGAAGCCAGAAATCGTTGGTTTCTTAGTCGATTTCCTCTCAATACGTAATAAAAGACGTGATTTTTACTACACTTTTGGCTATGCAACTTGCTCAGGTAATTTTTTCTGGCTTCAAATCTTCAATCCCACGAATCTACTCAAAATACCCAGAGAAACCCAGAAATATTTCATGCTCCTTTAGTCGTGACGCCACACGTTAGATAAATGCTCCACTTCCTATGGAATATATTCGTTCAGGAATTTCAACAAACAAATAGGACTCCACGGAAAACACATGAAATTGAGAAAGGCGAAAAAGGGGTTCTGTCCAGTTTGCCACAGAAACTGAAATTTGTGGAACTTTAGGAGGTAGTAAAATGTTACATGGCATGTAAAGAGTTGAGAAAAAAAAAAATTTTTTTTGATAAGCAAAATTTTCTTCTCACCGAAGTCCTAACTCCTAGAACTTTTGGTCAAAGGACTTGCATTTGAAGTAGGGCGAGCTCAAAAATTTTCATGAAAAGACTTAGCAAGGAGAAACAGAGAAAGAGGCAGCGAGAAGCATGGGAAGCCAGATGAGGGTCACATTTTGCTAAAAGATTGCAAATATGGACGAAGAAAGCCAAGAAAGTCCAAAAGGAAGGACTTAGGTGTTGATTGGTTTTTAACTGCCCAGAAGCAGAAGCTCCAAAATTCTATCAGAAGAGAGTGCTCCGCTCACTGCTCAATCTAAGTATCTAACTTGTCGGTTTCGGGAAATGTTCTGCTTTTCTGCCGGTAACATAGCGTAGCGTCACAGAGTCGGTGGTAAACTAGTCCCTGTGCTGATATGGATAACCTTACGTGACGTTTGGCACGGAGAATTAGAATAAATTTCATAATTGTTGTTTGGGTTACTATTTTTGAAATTGAGATTTTGAAATTATATATAAAAATTTAAAATTTTTCAATTTCTTAGTAATCTAAAGGATTTTGGACAAAATAAGTCTGACTCTCATTTGGAAACGGGTCGGTCCTGTTATTCGTTAAAAAAATTAATATATAATTATATATAATATATATTATAATTATAATATTTTATTATAATATTTAGTATAATTATTATAATATATTTATATTCATTATATACACATATATAATATATTAAATAAATATAAATTGTAATTATTTAATTAAATATAATTATATTTATATAATATGTATTATACATTTCTTAATATTATATAATAATATATTTATATTATTTATAAATGTATATTATGTGCATATAATTATAATTATATATTTATACTATAATATTTGTATAATTATATTTAATTATATATTTAATATTTAATTTAATTAGTTACAAACTTATAATAATGATATTATTAGGTATATGTATTATATAATGGATATTAGTATATGTAATATAATTGATATTATCAATTATACTAATAATTATACATGTTTACTAATAGAAATTATTAATTAGTTATACTAAATTTACTAATACATTTATACTAATATATTTAATTACCGAAAATTTCTTATATCCCATTTCGAAAGAATCAACGAACCAAACATCAAATATAGTAATGATATACATTTTTGATACTGAACCAAATAGTTATATTGGAATGACTGACTCCGTTCCAAATTTAGGATGAATGATTTCAAATTCGAATCCGATTCCAAGATGCGAACTAAGCGCCACCTTAATCTAATAGGTATCACTCATAATTTCTAACTTTACATTTAATCGCTCTTACTTGCCATAATCGGTTTTCAAGACACTTCAGCCATATAAAGTTCATCTGAAAACCTTTTTGGCCTCTCCAGCTCATAAAACGTTTCTGAGCCACCAGGCTGCAGCATATTATTAATACTTCCGCGCGATTCAGCTCACGTGCAGTTTGCATATGTTGTATTGCCAGTTCTGAGGTCACACCAGAGGCATGCAGAGTTGAAGGCTACAGTCAATGTATTGTCACTTTCACATTTTGACATTTGTTGTTTCTTGTGCCTCTGCAAGCATACGTACAATTTGAGAAAATTAGAGGATGGCTATCTTGAAAAGTTTGCATGTAACGACATTTGTCCAAGCAGAGAGTGTGCAAGGGGGTCTGATCATTTTTCCATAATTAACTTCTCGGCTCCAGAGTTTGATGATGAAATTGTTTGGAAACCACACTTGCTACATGTGATGAGCTTGAATTGCTTAGAAGAGAGTAGTATACATGGAAAATGTTAAGATGGTGCAAACGAGTTCTGAATTGCCAAGTTCAAGAACCTCGTGGTTTCATGTAGCTCCTCAGAGTATGATACATTAGTAGCATTATTGTCTCCACAAATTGTGAACAAATATGATGCCACTGTGACAGGTCTTGCTGAAGCCAAGGGGGGCAGTATGCAAGTCCATTTAAAAAACCACATTCAGGTCTTGGTAAGGTTACTGCACTTGAGATCTTGCAGGTAGGAGAGGCCTCGAGTTTTTTGTACTCCTTCCATCCAGAACCTACAAAATGAAATGTGAATGATAAAACAGGCAGATAGCTGATAAGAAATTAGCGCGAGACTCCAGTATGCAGAACTGCAGACAATGCAGGAAAGAGAAACTAGATAATGTCTATAACCAATATATTTCCTTGCCCATAAAATTCTACAAAAAGAGTAGATCATCTGAGTTGAAATTTGCATACATCAAAGTAATTTGAAGATGGCAGGAAGCATGAAAGCCCAAAAGAGAATTTCTACACAGCTTAGGGCATTTTCAATCATTTTAACTCGAGCTTCCAAGTAAGTAGGAACTTACCATGGGAGAATATTGTGTCCACAAAATTCTAGTCTAGGGCTCCAGGCCATCAGAAACTTGTAAATATCTCAAACCTTCACACTAGACGATTCATGCTAGGAGGCCTCGATCTGCCAAAGACTGGCAGCACGATTTGCAGAGAAACACTTTTACGTTCTTGTTGTACTTGAGGACTATACTAGAGCGTATAGTTTGCTTTAGAGACAGAGAACCCTTAGGTCACGAAATGGTAGTTTGGCTACATTCAAAGTTGAGACCCATGCAACATCCTGGAGTAAATGGATCAAAAAGGTACATCAGTTGTGTAATTAAAGTGACACCAACAGAGAAGTCCTCATATTAGCCAGTAGTTTTCCCTTTACTTTTGTTGAGGACACGTCATAGGTGCCAAGATATCTATTTGGTATGAAATGAAAGAATAGGCAGTAGGTCTATCAATGCACAATTGAATATAAAGGTCATGCATAAGATGAGATATAAGGTAATACATGAAAAAATAACTGATATAGAAGCGTAGGGACGGTGAAGAGACCAAAAACACACCCCTATACAAAGGGAGGTGCACATGATGATGTGTAAGGACTATATACAAGTACACGCAAAAGGACAATACAGATATAAGTATGAAGACACGTACAAATACATGCATGTGTATGTCAAACATATGGAATAACCAAAAAGTCTTGAACCAAAACCTCTCTCTCTCTCTCTCAAGTGCCTCTTTCACACAAAGCAGACCTCTATCTAAACAACCACATAAATCCAGCACCCCTCAATTAACAGTTTAGAAAGCAACATGCCTCACTCTTTGGTGCAACCGTTAGTCATTTCAGGAGACAATTTAACATCCCATTAGGATTAAATAGATGGTAGTAATATTTCCAGTAACACAAACCTTTATGCTTAACAAACACAAAATGAAGCCACAAATAACCATAGAACCAAATCTTCCAGCTCATAACAGCTCACTTATCAGCAACAAACAACTTCATTGTGTCAACATTGAACCCAAGATATAAGCATTCACAATTTCATGGTAACAAGCGTAATAATGCTCAAGCAGTAGTTGTATGAGCAACAGAGTATGATAAAAGATATAATTTTACCTTAGGGTATCAAAAGCTCTATTACTGCAAGCCATAGCATTGTGGAGCCAACTCAGGTAACCACAAGTAATCTATCCTACAGATGTTGCGAATGTAATTATTATTGGTTCGCACTAATTTATCGAAAATGATACACTCTGGTTTACTCCGGAATAAGACAGAAGAAGGGTGAATTTGGACCATCAGACCGCTTGACAAAATCCTGTGCATTAATATAGGATAAGAGAGGCATTAGGGAAAAAGATTGACTAGATATTCAACAGAAACATGAAAAGGATACTAGGATTTTATTACTGGTTGATCTGTGAGCCAATATTAAATCCCCTACCTGTACATACCATCTGGCTGCTTTAAAGCTGCATTAAGAAAAAAGGAAGCAGCTAGACATCTGCGGAATACAAGCATGTCATCTCCACAAGAAGTGATGCGAAGCCCCATTTGTTCAACATTCCTCTGTATTTGACTGCAAATGGAAATCATTAAGGACATGCAAGAATATTTACATGTAAAGCGGAAAGTGGCAAATAAATCTAGATAACAGCAAACAAGAAGATGGAAGCAAGAATATTAATATACATAATAGTAGACCAAGAAAGTGAAAAGCTTGTTTACTTGTCAAGAAGAAAAGCAACAAAGGTTTCTATGCTAGGTAAATTAGTCTACTGAAGCGACTCCTTCAATACAAAAGATAAGTAAATTTGAACCAGAAATACATTGAAGGTACTTAATTTTCCTTCTAGCATCGGAAAAGAGACATGTACTAACCTGTGAACATCCCGAGCATGCCTCAAGGACCGGCTGTTAATGAAATTATCCTTGCACCATTTCCTCAGGTTCTTCTCAGCTTTTTCTTTACTGTGGGTCAACTTGTTCTTTACCACGAATTCATTAGAAGCACGAAAGACATTTAACAAAGTTAAATGATCCCCCTCTGGACTTGAGAAGCACCTCAATGCAGCTCGTGACTACACAAGAGAAAGAAGGATCAATTCAGGTTATTATATTTGCAAATGGAGGCAAAATCGAACAATGAAATACGCAGAAGATGCAATCATCAGGAAGACCTAAAAGTGAAAATAGCTTGTAAGCAAAAGTACTGCAAACTGCAAGCCCTTAATTTGGCTGCAGGATAATCATGTAACTCTTCAATCTGTTGACTGTGATACCTTGAGGCGTTCACTGGTGGCTTCCGATTTTGTGCCACCATAGACAATTTAGTACAGAAGCCATACAGAGAAAGTAGATTGTTTTCCATAGTTCAGTCAATTTCAAGTCTTACAAGATGATGCAACATTTGCTGACGACAAATTTAAAACTGTCATCAAATGTAACATAATGCAGGGACTTAAGTAAATCAGTGAAGTCCTAGAACTCTACATATTTATGGAAGAGTAGATGAAATCTAAATGCCACAAAGGTGGCGGAAGCCATACATACATTCCTCTAAATTTTGCAACAAAGACAGCATCACCAAATTCTTTGCAGAAAATTATATAGCCTATCCTCATCAAAGCATAAACAGATCATGAGCAAATTATAATGGCCAATGAACAAAAAGGGACATAGATGTCAACAAAACCTTAGTACATCCAGTTTAACCAATATATGAAATCAAAAGAATCCAAAATCCTTTTTTTTTGGTGCATCTCTTTTGAAAAAGAAATATCATTTTCTTTAGTCCCAGAAGACGAAAATAAATTTTGATAAAATCATCTACATATTCTGGTACTTGACAAAGCCATTACAAACTCAAAGGTGCCTTGCCTTACCATTTTGATTAAGCAATTTCAAATTATTATGAACTATTTTGTTGCACAGCATGCATAATTCTTACCTGTTCTGTTTGCTAATGCAAATAGACCAGACAAAAATACTTTTTATCCTGTTGCCTGTTGTCAGTTTTTTACATCCAAGCAAATTGGACCTAGAAAATACCCTTTTTGTAGGGTGCTGGTTCAACAGTTAGATTACACAAATGTAAAGGAACAGAAATGTACCTCTTCCAACTTTTCACGAGGAGCATAAAATATAGATTCCACAGAAAGCATTGCAACAACAATCAACATTTCTTCCAAGCAATTGAACTGACTTGAAAGAATGAGAGCCTTAGAATACACAGGTTCTAGCGGCAGCCTCGCCATTTGGTGTCCAACTATATCAGTGAGTTTACTTTCTTCCGTTAAAGCACCTAATAAGAATAATGACTCCAGGGATCTAATTATTGCAGTCCTGTAAAAAAAAAATCATCATGGAAATCTATTGAAAAGTCCTTAAACGTAATACAGATTTCTTTTTTCTTTCTTACTCATAAACAAATAACATGCCGACCAAACTCATTGCAGAGCATAATCATTCCACAAATCAACATTTTAGAACTAGAAACCCTCAAAGAAATTTCAGACAGAATGTGAAACAAAGTGAATCTGGTAAATCATGTGCTGACCAAACACACCTACAAGCATTAGAACAATGTAAATAAGAAAGCCACAGACTTCTTTGATATGTTCTTGAAACATTTAGTTAGCTAGCTATACCTTGACCAGTAGAGACCTAATTAATGTCATGCTGCTAATAAGCAGTATCTTTGTGAAGCCAAAATGATGGAGCTAATTATCCAATCAGTGCAATACAGATACCTACTTACAATGATGAATAATTCAAAAACTCAGAGATGCATAAAATAAAGGATTGCTGCTTCTCAGGGAAACTTTTAGTACGTTGTAGCATTCTAGCTCCTTGTAAACCAATTATCTACTAGAGCAAACTGCCATATTATCCTTTAATCTGACAATTACCTGTTTGGTTTGTCAATGAAGTCAAACCCTGCAATATCATCAATTCCCAAAGCCTTGAGCTGCAAAATAACATTTGAGAGGTCACATCTTTTGATTTCTGGTGTCGTAGAATCTTCAAATTTATCAAATTCAGACTCTGGATAGAGACGGTAGCATTTCCCAGGTCCTTCACGGCCTGCACGTCCACTGCAGTATAGCTTCTTAGATGTCAAAATCCCCTATTAATCGGTAAAACCATAGAGCTATAATCATTGACACAGGAAAGACGATAATCACAATGCATAACACAGGTCATCACTTTGGAGTCCTTTCAAAGAGAATCAGATGAGCACACCAAACAGTTTCACCAGAGCTCCAGTGGGTAACAATATGGAGGACTGCTCCCAACCGAATTGATTTTAAAAATAAAAAATAAAAAATTCACCAATAAATGGAGGAAGGTCACCTGGTCCTGTAAATACAAATCTGTTGCCCATTTTCAATATTGATGAGAAAGCAAGAAAAGATGGCAGGAACTGAACCTGGGAACAGATAGTAACGGTGGGAGAAAAAGAACGCAGAACTCAAGTTCTGAGAATCTGAGACTGCTCAATCAAGTACTACAGTTGCAAGAACAGAGGATGAAAGTTTGAATGACAGTAGGATAAGGAACTATAGTAGTTAAAAGATCTTTATATTACTATTTCAGCATCCTATCCAGTTAACATTTTTAGCACATTTACCTTTGCCAATTGTAGTGTTCTTTCAATAACTTTTGCTTGTTGATGAAACCATAATTTTTGGCCACAACCATATTCCGTTGTACTAATCCACAATGGATTTGTCTTTCTAACATTCATTTTCTAACCCCCTATGCCCTACCTCGAGAAACAGACTGGAGAGAGACATAGAGATCTTTGCTGGCAGCTAACAAAAGGAAAAACTAAAATGAAGTTCTCAAACAATTCCCCATCACTCAAGAAATGCCTTTTGTGGCAGAAATTTAAAAAAAATGCACACACACACCCTCAAAATGCAAAGCATATATATATATACAAATCCATATAGGCCCAAATAAATTCTTTAACAGCCAACCTCCTTTGAAGAGCCTGTGCTTTTGAGGTTTTCACAATATCCAAAGATTCTATTCCTGCATCAGCGTCATAGATTCGGGCCTTGACCACACCAGAATCAATAACATATCTGATCCCAGGTATTGTCACCGATGTCTCAGCAATATTAGTGGCCAATATTACCTAAACATCCAAGAAACGATTTCGGTTACAAATAAACAAATTCTTGTCTGACAGGGAAATTAAACAAATTTCTGTCACAAATTAAACAAATTCTTGTCACAAATAAAGAAATTTCAGTCACAAATATTAATAGACTTGTCTGACAGGGAAATTAAATCAAATTCTGAGTAACAGGGAAGTTAGGATATCCAATTGGAAGTCAAGTATGATAATTAGGAATCTGTACCATCTAGGCATGATTGGTAATCAAGTATCAAGGAATTCTTTACTAGAGATAAAAAATGGCAACTCTGGCAAAAAAAGAAAATCCAATTGTACAACTCTTCAACTACTGAGTCATAGAATTGGGACAATGATTAGTATAAAATCGATCTCCAGCAAAGCTAATGGCCAGAAAGGATTTGCAAATAACAGTTCAATGCAAAGTAAATTTTGAGGAATTTGCATAAGTGATAATACACTATTTTTGCTTCCTTTGAAGGATGACAGGAATGAAGCAAATCAGTTATTTATAACACGACCAACAGTACAAACATCTGTATCTATCTATACAAACCAAAAGCATCCAATCAACCTACTTAATTAGCTCAAACTGTACAATCAAGACTTACCTTCCGAAATCCAGGAGGTGCAGGCATAAAAACTTTCATCTGTTTCTCTGAGGGAAGAGATGAAAATATTGGAAAAGTTAAAAGCTTCTGGTTGCCTTCAGGTAGTTGTCGCAGGCGCTCATGGACAAGCCTCTCAACAGATTCAATCTCTTCTTGCCCAGTCAGGAAGACAAGTATATCACCGTGACTCTCCTCCAAATGTATCTAGGCAGAGGGGAAGGGGGGAAGGAAAGAAGAAAAAATGCAACCTTCAGCAAAAACTCTAGGGAAGGCCATATGTCAACATAAAACTAAATTAGTAGCTGTTATCGGTATATTACTTTGGCCGAAAAGAATAAGAATGCATTATTCATTGCTCAGGTCCAGTACAACAGAAATATGCAGCTAAATAACCAAGTATCAATGATATTTTGTAGAAGAAAAGGAAATGCACAAATAAACTAGTGTACTACCTCTGAACATTGTAACAATATGGATCTAAGAAAATAACCAGTAAGTATCACACGATGATCCACAAAAACTGTGGATAGATACAAAGAAACCAAAGAAAGATCGACAAACCACCTGAAATATGGTTATCAATGCTGCATCTAGATAATCTGACTCAGGCTGATGCGTATATAGTATATCAACTGGATACTGTCGGCCCTGGACATGAACAGCTCTTGCACTACCAAAGTACTCAGAAAAAACCCGTGCATCCAAACTAGCAGACATGATAATTAACTTTAGTGGAGATAATTTCTTGCCATGGCATGGCATCAAGAAACTCTTATCCTTTTCTGCTCCCATTAGCAACCCATTCTGGGCATGACCATTCATTACTTTACTGACACTGGACCTTGTTTTCTGCACACTCTTCAGCAGACCAAGCAACACATCAGTGTGAACTGTTCTCTCATGAGCCTCATCTACAATAATAACTGAATACTTCGAGAGACACGGGTCCAATAATGCTTCCCTGTGATCCACAATTGTATTCACATTTTGAAAGGAGCAATCAGCAGTAGAAATTGATTCTTACTTGCTACAAACAGTGTCTTTTAGATCAAGATATTACCAAACTTCTAGATATTTATCAATAGGCTTAATCCCCAAAAGGTTAGGTAAATCCTGAACTATCTTAAACTGCAAAAACACAGATATATAAAAATATAACTAAATTACCAGCTATACAATGTACCTCAATAGCAATCCATCAGTCATGTACTTCATTCTTGTTGAGGCTGAGGTCATATCATCAAATCTAATAGCATATCCAACCTTTTGGCCCAGAGCCACACCACATTCCTCAGCAACCCGTTTTGCGACTGATACAGCCGCAACTCGTCTAGGTTGAGTTATGCCAATGACACCCCCATCACGGCAAAATCCCCCATAGAAAAGATACTGAGGCAACTCTGATTGCAAAATAAATGATGTCACACCCAAAAAACAGCATTTTAGGAAGAATACTTGACAAATATTTTCATGAAGAAAAAGAGGTGAATGCTGGGAGAAGAAAAGGAGGAAAAAGAAAATGAATTGCGATACTTGAAAGTTTCAAAATTTTTAGCGCAAATAGAAGACCAGAAAATCTCTATGAATAACATATTATCTCCAGGATACATTGTTTAGACATGAATGATAAAAAGAAGTTAACCAGTTCATACTTTTCCTCCAATTCAAGAATATGTTTGGCATCCCTGTTTTAGGGATGTTTTAGAAAGACAATTTTTTTTTCTGCAACTCCATCTTTAGTAACTCTAAAACAACCACAAGTTTAAGAAAAATACCAACAAAAAAAAATACGCTAGAAAACACCCACCACCATTCCACCAACACTGCCTCCCTCCCTACCACTGCCACCTCTCCCGCCTCCTTGTTTTTCCCCTTCTCCTCCCTCCCTCCCCTTCCTCCTGCTCCTTTTCTCCTCCCTTCCTTTCCCTCCTCCTGCCTTTTCCCCCCTTCTCCTTTCCTCCACCCTCTTTCTAGATTGGGCAGGTGATGGAAGCGGGGCCGTGGGTAAGGGGGGAGGGAGGAGCGGGCAGTGGGTGGGAGAGAAGAGGAAGGGGTGGCACAGTGAGTCGAGGGGAAGAGGGGGTGCCGGTGTTAGAAGAGGGAGAAAGGGCAGGAGAGGAGAGAGGGGATGGGTGGGGGTGGCTGCTGGTGGTGGGTTGTAGAGGTGCTGCTGCTGTTGGTGGGTGAAGGGGGTGTTCTGCATAAATAACAAAGTTTTCCTAAGACAAGTACATTAAACCACAGTAAAATTTTAGACAAAATCCTAAAAAGCACACCATCCAAGCAGACCCCAAATCAATTGTTTAATTTATAAAGTTAAATTACAAAAACTAAACAGTGGCGTTTCAAAAGCTTAATCATTCCATTATAATTAGACAAGCTAGTAAACCAACTTTGTATCAGCAAATGATGGACAGAAAGAGTACCCGTCTTTCACTGATGGAGAGTTCCATGTAAAGATCATAAGTGCAACTGCCAAGCTTGGCAAAGAAGTTGCACACCACATGCCAAGAATTACTTGTAACAAAAAAACAGAAGCCCGTATAACAATGTATTTATGCAAGTTTGTCTATTCACATACATCAAACAGAGCTTCAAAAAAGAGATACAGAATCTCATGTAACAAAGCAGAAAAACTGTCGCAAAAGTTCAAGCTATATACAGTGGCATCTCATAGCAATGAATTACTGAGCATTAAGCATTTAAAAAAAACATCGAAAAGATGAAATCACGACTTTCAGCTGAATATATAGCAGATTTCATAGATTACATGACAAATGCCTAAACAGGTAATGTCACACATTTTCAACATCCCAGATCTACAGAAGAGAAAATCTATGACAACTTACGTGTAGTCTTGCCACTCCCCGTTTCACCAACAACAATGAGTGTGTTATTATTCCGGACCTCCTCCACAAGTAGCTTTTCAACTAGAAAAGCAAAAAGAAAGAATTTGTATGTCAGCAAGAACTAATTTTCCAAAATCAAAGCAAATGAACATTCATGACTATAATAACTTTCAGCATATATAAGTAAATTGACATCATAAGTCCGTAAAAGCACTGGACTATTCAAAGCTGCCTGAAAATCTGACTGCCAAGCTAATAAGATTCTGAGGCATCTCACTAAAAGATTACACGCATGTGAACCATAACTCCATAAGCAATTTTAACAGGAAACCTTCAATCAGAAAGCAAATAGAATTTGCACTTCCTACATGCATTGAAGCAATATAAGACGCTCTCTTGACTACAAATGAATAAAATAAAACCCTGGTGCCAAAAAACAATCCCCATCCAAGTAGCACGGTTAAAAAAGGGAAACTTTTCCCTAGAAAAGAAAAAATATCCGGAAAAAAGTCCCTCGAATGGAATGTCACAAGACTAAATAAAAGCTGATATAACCTCCCGACCATCATACCACTACTAGGGAGAAAATTAAAAGAGAGAAAAGTGAATTGAACTTTGTGGGTTACAAATTAGATACTAAAGCATCGTCCAAAAAAAATCAAAACTTTAACACCCCAATAAAAATTTTTTTTAAAAAAAAAGTAATTGCCTGAAGCTATTGGGAGAGATTTTCTCTGCTGCTGAATCCTCTGCCTCCTGCAAATATATTCATCAAAATCCCCAAAAGACACAAAGTTAATATTTCAGCACGAGCATATACGTATCAAAAAGACAACATAATAAATGTGTGTTGGTCGGCATTTTGAGCTGAATTGACCTGGTAACGAAGTCCCCTTTTGCAGCTTCAATGCTCTGAGTATGGTTATTATTACAAGTATCATTCTTGCGTGGGAGATTATTTGCAGCCATTGAAGGCATCTCTTCCACAAAGCAGACCAACTTTTCAGTGGCAATAACAGGAGGACGCGAGCTACGGTGGATCTTGAGGGATGTTTTAGCTCAAGCAGGTTGAAGAGCTTTTGGGTTTCGGGTCTGCGTTCTGGGTTGTGAAGTGGAAGATGCGGCAACTGGGAACAAAGGCCCTGTTTGGAATTATTGATCGGCGCCGTACTTTTGAATTTTTACCTTTTTTCTGAAAAAAGAAAAGAAAAAGGAAAATACTAAATAATAAACAAATTAAATGATATGTATATTTTTTTCCCTTTTTTCTGGTAAGTGAAAGTTTTTGAATTCAAAACTTTCTATTTACAATCTCTCTCTTTTTGCCATCCAACCCAACAAATTAAAAGAAAGCAAAAAATGACTTCCCAATTTCTCTATTTTAGGAATTTCCGAATTAATTTGCTGTCCTTTTGTTTTGTTTTTGGCATGGTTTTGTTCATTAAAAAAGAAGTTTGTTTGCTATTTTACGATTTCATTTTTTTTATAATCAATTTTCCTAGTTTCTTTTTTTCCTGTATTTTGAGATACAGCCTCTTAAATTGTTGGTCACCAAGACATTTTTAAGTCACGATAGAAGGTCAAAAGTTCAAACCTTACCTCCCACCAACCATTATTTATGGCTTCTCACTCTCCCTCTCTTTAGATTAGGCTAGAACAATGTTTTAAAACCCGGACCGTTAATTGAACCGGTGAAGTGAAAGGGTCGAGGTTCAACCGGTCGGACCGGTTCAACCGCGGTTCAATAAATAAATAAATAACTATATATATATACACACACACATACACACAATCATTCATACATACCTGTGCATAGAATAAAATATAAATGTTCTACCATAATTAACATAAGAGCAATATTATAGTTATCCAACTTACATGTCCAATTGTCTAAATATTAGAATTAACAAAAAAAATATAAGTCTAGAAAACACTCAAAAGGTCCAAACAAGTTCAATTTCTGAGGCTTCTATAATCTTCTTCGTCATTCTAGGACAACAAAGCTTTAAAAAAACCACCTTGACAAGTCGTCACCACCATCCAAGACCATTATATGAATCACTGGCAAGTGATAAAAGTATAAATTTCATATTAATACCGTAAACCAATTCATAGTGCAAAAACCAGTCCATGATCACTAGAGGGAAACTAAAAATTGTAAAACATACTACAAAATCAACTAACCATCTGCATATCAAAAAAAAAAATGAACGAGACTATATAAAAGGTTACTCAGCTCAAATTCACATCCTTAATTCGTTGATAAGAGTCCCCTTAATTCATTGCGTATACTACATAATCCACCATTTTTTTAAAAGTCCCCTTAGATTGTGCTACTAAAACATCTGCCATGAGGCAATATTAAAGATCAGATAAACGAGGGAAAACAAAATATAAGAGTCAGAAAAAGAACAAAGATAACTTGCATGAATCAAGAATCTCAAAACATTGCTTTCCAACACCTTAATAGTCGTGGAGATAGAGGAAGGAGGTGGGATGGGGGTGGGGGGAAAGTTGAGCGGTAATTTCAGGGAAATTATACAAAGTTTGGAGTTTAAGATTCCGCCATTACATGACAAGATGTAAGATATCCCACTGATTTCTCTCGTACAGAAATATGTATACAAAGGAAATTCCCAGGTCTTAGCATATTATAAGCAGTAGATGGCAGCCAATTAAATGGGGTTCATGCACATTAATCATATCCACGATACAGTGCCTAAGTAATTTATGGCTAGATTAATCTTTGGTGGTATCAAGTCTTATTTTTGTAGAATGTTCTGTACCTAATCATTTGCTTTAGATGATTAACTTAGCTCAACAAGATCACTAAATCAGCAACCTTACTAGGCCCCATCAAGATCGACTTCTTATTTGAATAAAGTTGTCACATCCTCATGATCAAGCAAGATAAACCCTGATCATGGTCAACAAATAAGTAATCATGCGTGCAATCATCCAATGATCCAATGACATAACCTTTGTACTCCAGGCTCCATAGAACAAAGAAACTGAAACAAAGAACAAAGAACAAAACTGAATAGCTAGTCTCGAGATTATTCTAGTAAACTGAAACAGAGAACAAAACTACCCAACTAATAAAAATTCCACCGCTATTTTCCTCCATAAATTCCAACATTTTCCAGTCAAGATAATCTGGCAACTTATTTTTTGGGTAGTATTTAAAAATTTCAAAAAGCCCAAAAAAACTACCCAACTAATAAAAATTCCACCGCTATTTTCCTCCATAAATTCCAACATTTTCCAGTCAAGATAATCTGGCAACTTATTTTTTGGGTAGTATTTAAAAATTTCAAAAAACCCAAAAAAATAAGTACAGCAAGATCAGAAATATACTAACAAAATTGAAAAAAAAAAAGAAATTGATGAGACATATATACAGAGGGCCGAAAAAGAAATTGATGATACATATAAACAGAGGGCCGAAGGGATCAAGTTTACTTGTTAAGATAGAACTTCGTGCTGAGCACCGACGGCAAATCGGCAAGTCCGCAAGAGCAGCCAAGCAGGAAGACCGAAGACGCCAAAGACTGGAGTAGTTGACTGAGAAGCCAAGCAGTCGGCAAAAGCAGGAAGCCGAGCAGTCTGCAAAAGCAGCGGCAGCAGCCAAGCAGGAAGACTGAAGACGGCGAGGAGCCGAAGACTGGAGTAGTGGAGTGAACTGTGAAGAGTAGATTGAAGATTAGCCGATTAGGTTTAGAAATTAGATGACGTTCGGTTTAGACGTTAAGTCCTTTTCGGTCAAAGACTCAAAATTCAGCCCATTTTCTGAAAAAATAAAAAAACTGCGGTTCACGGTTCGATCCGAGTTTAACGGTTTAAACAATTTTTTACGAATTTGACCAATTCTTTAACCAAATCAACATAAGTTATGAACCGGATCGGACACATGACCGGTTCGCGATACCTTAGCTAGAATAGATTATACAAACAGTTATCGTTGCTCTTAAAAATAAAAATAAAAAAAGGGCATAGCCGTGTAGTTTTCAAGATTTATGGTAATTTCACAAACATGATACTTGCATATATTAAAAAATTTCAAGTCATGATAAGTTTGGAATTTGGATTAAAATTTCTTTGACTATTAGAACCAAATTAAAGATGAATGTGACAAGTTCAGGATGTTCGGGCACTCTCATACATGCATATAACCATTTCATGGTCTTATTTGAATTCTGAAACTTAAACTGATTTTTGAGTAAGAATCTGAATGTTTTCATGCCTGCTGTGATTGATTCCAGAATTGGTTAAAAATACTTTTCCTAGCATCTTTCTGCACTCGAATTCTCAAGAAAATAGCCAAATATACAGTAGGAAACGCCAATTCTCCTTTGCACCCTATGAATACATTGCTAATAAGAGTACAAAAATGCACTAATAGAGCTTGATAAACGACAACAACATTGCTAGCAGTCTAAATATCGCAAAACATGCATTGGATAAAACTCTGGATGGAGAATGGAGAGATTCAATCCCACTGTGAAGAATAACAAGCTGTACAGCTCTCTGGCCATTTGGTCAGCACAATTGTTAATGTACGGATCATCATTAGAAATACAGGTTGCCGTTTTGACCAAAATAATAGTAATAATAATAATGAGTAAGCTAACCATCTTTGGAAGGGAACTAAAAGGAAAGAAAACTACAACATTCATCAGTCTGATTAAAAGAATTTGCTGTAATATAATTTCAACTCTCAGCTTCAAATGCATCCTTTGGCAGCCCAAGCGTTTCCTGCTAACAAAGTGCCCTTCACATTAACTGTGCATCATTGCAAACTAAAAGCAGAGGACAAGACTTGGGAGCTAGGGACAGGAGATGAGACAACGGATACCAACTCCTTGGTTTAAGCCTGGTAATCAGATTCTAGTTCTTCAACAGTCTTCATACAAAAGTCAGGCGACTCAAGCCCCCCCAACTCCAAACAATGGCAAGTGCTCGAGACTAGCCGGTACAATCGTCTTTAGTCTCCAGAGTGTTCAATACTACATTGCTCAGCATAAGAGGCCAGCAAGTACAATCATCTTTGATGCAATTATAGTGAAATGTGACTCATCCATCATGTACTGGCTAAAACTTTCGGTACTCTGTCCGGAGATGTCAAAAAATATTTCATCCCACCATACAACATAAAACCAATGACACCAAGCGTAATGGGTATCGTCAAAATGAAAAGTTTCTTGGTCTCCTTGACTCTATGGTTGGACCTAGGTTTAGATGGAGCCGAAGACCTCAACAACGGATTTTTCATGAATGAGGAATAAAAATTGATATCCTCTCTTGTAAGAGCTGGTTTTAGGGAATTCCTGACTGTTTGGAAATGCCGACCACAAACAAGAGTGGCTGATATATCTTCCCTCAAAGCTACAATTCCAGCCTCTTTGCAGAGCCTCTCCAGTTCAGCCCCAGTGAAGAGCTCCGTATCTGCTGCTATCTGTCTCAAATCAACATCAGGATCCACTTTCATACCACGTGTATGAACTCGAAGAATTTCATACCGAGCTTCCAGATCAGGTGGTGGGACATAAAGCACCTACAACAATTACAACAATTATCCAAATTAGCCACTCATCAGCATTACTCCTATCAACAAGTTACTTGAGTCCCTGCGTTATGTAACATCAGACCATTCATACTGATATTTATACACCATCAGCACAAGTACTCCATAAGTAATTATGAAAATTTACAAATCAAGACAGATTCGTGCTGAATGAAAACAGCAACTTTCCACTTGGACACGAGTCTTTCAAACAAAGCCTGGTTCCTCCTATTCTATCTCAGTAACACAAAAAAAAAAGATAATTTCTACCCCTAACTCATGATATGATAACAGACTCGTTAGCAGCTATAAATAAAGCTATCTTACTCTTCTCTGAAGGATAAGGAGAGGCATAAAGAACAACATAGAGAATATGCAACAGCCAAAGCAAAATATAAAGCTTCAGAAAATGTGCATGTTTTTCCACCTTTTGGATAATAAAAACACAGTAATAGCTCATTTCTATTAAGAAACCTTACTAGATCAAAGCGTCCAGGTCGGATAAGTGCAGCATCAATTGCATGAGGACGGTTTGTAGCAGCCAAAACAAGAATGCCCTGAGAAAAGAAATTAGCAGTCACGCCAGAAAATATTAACACCTCAACTCTAAAGCTGAAGAGTAATAATTGTTGTGCTCACTTTTGCCTGCTCTAAACCATCCATTTCTGTTAGTAGAGTAGATAAAAGTTTCTCACCCACTGTAGTGCTGCCACTTGAACTTCCTCCTCTGTAATTAAAGGAAAAATGGTACCAGAAATCAAAATGGACTCCAAAAGTTAAAAGTGTGAATGCATGTGTATGACTCCAACTTTAGTGGTGTCTCACCCCAACTCTAATGATATCTCCCGAAAAGGAAAAGGAACTATAGTCTCAGAAAGGAAGAGCTAACTACAACAATAAGAACATTAAAAAAACTTTCTCCATCTGTCTAAATGTCCAAGTGAAACTACATATAGTAGCATACCATATACTATATGTCATACACGTGACCTATATCTATCACCTAAATGCCTAGCATACAATTGACTGACTGCCAATCCACAATATCACTGCATGGAAAGGGACATTAAACAATTAGATTTATATAGTTGCCCATTTTGAGTCATTACACAAGCTAAATAGTATAAGGTAGAATGCCAAACAAGAAAAGGATTCCAAGAGGAAACTTAAGCAGACTAAATCCAAAAGCATACAAGCAAACACTTCTAACTATTACGCAATGAAAATTGGAAGAAATTTCTCAATGGTGGACCAGGTCAGCAAATCATTTATATGTGAAACCAACTCTGAAAGAACTTGAAGAACTCCCAAATGATGCTTTTATGTCTTGATAGAGGAAGGGTTAATTTATATCAGGACACGGTATCTTCAAGCTTCAAATAACTACTTACTGGCCTTCTTGACTTAAAACCATATGTTTGAACACAATAAAAAAAGGTGTTAAAGAGATTGACAGATTTCTTTCAAGAACCATAAAGCAAGAGAAGTGTTATTTGTCAGAAGGTGCAAAAAACCATTTAAGAGACCAATGATCAAACTGTGCAGGCATCAGAAGCATCAGTTGCTATACATGCAAGTTTGAATACACTGTTCAGGCATGCAACTTCAACAAGCACTAGTTCAAACTCAAGAAAACCACAACATATGGTAACAGCTTACACCTGGTTGAAGTATGATAAAATGCTAAAGAATTGAGTATAAGCTAACACATGCGATCTGTGTCCCTGATACAAAAAAGTTTGTTGCAAAAAGAAAAAGCGGAAAATAAAAACAATATTTACCGTCTTGCAGCAACAACATCAGCCTCGTCGAAAAAAATTATACTAGGAGCTGCAAGACGAGCCCTCCGAAATGTATTACGCAACAAAGCTTCGCCTTCACCAACATACATAGAAAAGAGTTCTGCACCACTGAAAAACTAATGTAAATTTCCACACCAGTGCAATTGCAATTATGTTGCTGACATTCAGATATCAAGAATGATCATAGTAAGCTCACTCTTCTATATTGGTTGTTAAGCTTAAACAATGAGTACACTTAAGACGCGATATCTATTAGATTGAAAATCAATATATACTGCCTTTCTCTTTTTCCAATAAGGACGAAATAGAGCCATTCTCAACATACCAAAGGCCTACTAGAACACCACTATTGCTAACTTACTCGCTTTTGGATTATAATTGATAAATTCTGATTAAATAAGGAAGTGAACACACACACACACACAAAAGACAAACAGCAGTGGCATGATTGGTGAGAAGAAATATTAATAGAAGTCAGTTCTAACGCCTGTATGCATCTAGTGGTAGACAACCAAGTAGAAGTTCTTCCAGCTTACTCATCCCACGAATGCAGGATCTTACAGATGCAATAATGCTTCATGAAACAGATAGTTTTAACTTGCAAATCATGAAAGCAACATGCACTGCTGAGTTCAGAATGGTAACATTATCATAGCAGGAGTTCATCCAGCCTCTTTGGAATATAAAAAATTAAAGCAAAATATACAAAAAAAGAAAGAAAGAAATAAAGAAAACTAGTGGAAAAAGAGCTGGGTACATCTAAGAATATACACTTTTTCCTCAACTATCATTTGATCTCAATTTTTTTTTCGGGGAGTGGTATAGAAAATTAATGATGGACTAACCTCAATGAAAAGAAAGATGCTTGGGCTGCATGACCAGTAGCTTTAGCAAGTGTTGTTTTCGAACAGCCTGGAGGTCCATGAAGAAGGATTCCTCGAATAGGGGACACCCCAAGCTGTGAAAAAGCTGAAGAGTGTTTCAAGGGCCACTCAACAGCTTGCTGAAGCTTTTTCTGTTTTATGCAGTAGACTTGTAAGATACTTACACTTATGGTTGTAAACTTGAAAAGTAGTGCAACAGCAACAGACCTTTAACTCATATAGACCCCCAATGTCTTCCCAAGAAACCTTTGGGATTTCAACTGTAACACCTCTTGTTATACTTGGCCCAACAATTGACCTAGCATGTTTAAAATCATCCGCTGTTATGTTACATATTTTGCCTCCAAGACCTCCATCTGAAGATTTTCTAAGTGCAGAAAGAGCAGCCTCACGACACAAAGCTTCTAAATCTGCTCCAACATAACCATTGCATGCAGCA